AGGAAACAATTATAAAGCTCTATAATTTGTATATTCTACAATTACATAGTTATATAATTATTTAATTAAAATAATCTGTAAAATTCGTTTTTATTTGGGACGTTCAGGTTTTTCAAACAACACAAAACCCGGTGAGAGAAAGAGTTGTGTCACGTTTGTGCCTCGGCCACGAAGGCTTCATTGGGAGTGTTCAGAAACCCTCCCATCTGACCAGAGATTTTATGTCTTTATTTATTTATCTGAAATATTTATATGCCACTTTTCTCCTAAAGGATCCAAGGCAGTGTACAATATTTTTAAAAAGTTAAATTTAATTAAAATTTTAAATTTGTAAACCACTTGGATATCTAGGTGGTTTACAAATATGTAGAATGAACGAAAGTAAATGACTTCACAGACATTGTGATGGACCTTGCGAGGTGCGTATCAGAGTGCTGAAATGTGAGAACATTTCAAAGATTGAGGTATTGCTAAGAAAACACAATGAAAAGTAACAACGGTGCCTTAAACAGTGGCGCCAGGTATTAAAGTGAAAATTAAATAGAAGGCTTTAGTCTTATGTCTGACATTGGCTCTCAAGATTGCCAGGCAGCTCTCTTGCTGGCGGATGTCCCACGGACAGAAATTGCTGCTACTGCAATGCCTCTTTCTTCCCCCGTGGACAGAGGCACCTGCGGAATCCCTCCGTATCAGCCATAGTTCTGTGCTGAATTTAGGTTGCTGCCTCTCTTTTCTGAGACCCAATATGGCAGATCCATACAGTGTGGTCTGTGTAAAAAATAATTGTGTGTATTGAACTTGACCAGAGCAACTAGGGTGCAGACTTTGGAGGAATTTACCAACTTCATAAACATCACATCAAAAGGAATGTGAGATTCAAAAAACAATATTCAAATGTGAAACTGGCAGATTTTCTCATCTCTGCTTCTCCTGTTGTTATTCTCCTGCAGAAGTTGATGGAGAGCCTCTGGCTTCTCTTGGCAGGAGGCAGCTGTTGGACGAGTTTCACGCTCTTTACCAGGAGCGCCTGCACTGCTTGGAGGTCCTGGAGGAGAATCAGGAGGAAGTCCTCCAGGTATCACACTCTCGTTTCCTTTGCCTTTTGCTAATGCCACCCGCCCCAGCATGTCTGTTTCCAAATGTTCAGTTACATATGATCCATTTTTCCCTGTAGTATTAGTTCAGGTATCGGCCACAGGTAATACTTGAGCCAAACCCAGCATCCTGCAGGTGGTCATTTAGCCCTCTCCGGCCATGAAAATATAAATCAAAAGTGTGAAGTGATTATTAGTTGTGCCTAGAAGATGTCTTGGATCCTTCTCCACACATGCTTGTTCTTTTTACAAGTGATCTTTTAGCAACACTGGTTGTTGAACAGAGTTCTTATTTTCTGGTATTGTTTGCTCTATGGGTTTTTGCTGTATGGTGGGTTTAGACTTTTCAGATAATATTCAGTGCCTTCTATAGGCAGCCTGGTGCTTGTTCCAACCGGAAACCCTGCCAGTGAATTCCTTAGCATCTCATCCTTTGCCTCCTTCCTCAGAGCCTGGAAATGAGCATAAAGCAAGTGCTGGAACGTGGTAGCGCTGCGGGTTAAACCGCAGAAGCCTTTGTGCTGCAAGGTCAAAGACCAGCAGTCATAAGATCGAATCCACGTGATGAAGTGAGCTCCCGTCGCTTGTCCCAGCTCCTGCCAACCTTGCGGTTCGAAATCGTGTAAAAATGCAAGTAGATAAATAGTACCACCTTGGTGGGAAGGTCACGGCCTTCGTGTCTAGTCACGCTGGCCACGTGACCACGGAAACTGTCTTCGGACAAACCCTGGCTCTGTGGCTTGGAAACGGGGATGAGCACCGCGCCCTAGAGTCGGACATGACTGGACTAAATGTCAAGGGAACCTTTTAAGTGCTGGAATGAGTAAGTGTCCAGCTAGAGTTGTGTTTTTTTTCAAAAGTGAACTGCATTTTTAAAAATGGGATATAAAAAAAACAGAACAAAGCAAGTTTTAAGCCTGCAGCTGGGCAACAGCTTTGTTAGAAGTTGCTATAATGTGACAATATAGTGGGAAGCTAAACACTAAGACTGTGTTTAAAAACTGTCTTAGTTTCTAGTTACAAAGTCTGCATGTGGCCACAGTTTTGTGGTGTTTTTTAAAGATTACAGCCCTAAGAAATAAAATGGAGCCATATTGGTTTTTGAAAATAACTAGTCACAATTAAAATGTTTGTAACTGGTTTGTTTTCCTACAAGAAAGGTGTAATTATGTTACATTATGATTGTAAAAATAAAGTCTGCTAATGAGAGGTTACTTTCCTTTTTTAGTGTAATGAATCTTTTAGTTATTTTTATACTTGCATGGTTTTGGCCTGAGTAAGGTGAAACTCTGTATTTCTGACCTTTGTGCAAAAATATCCAAAGTACTTGTTATTTCCTGGGTGGATTTTTTGGGTTGAAGGGTGGGAGGATTGTGTTCTTTGGGAACACAATTCAGACTCTGCAGGGAAGCTAAAAACCTATCAGGACCTTCATCTTTACTTCCTAGGAAATGTCTCAGTTAGAAAGGCCCAAACCTCTCCCTACACAGAGTGAGGTTGCAACTGGTGCAGAAGATTGCATGGGGATGTCTGACAGAATTTGTGCCTAGAACTTGGGCGCTTTCTTGAACATGGTTGTTGGAAATCAAGTGTTCTCCCACTTGAGGCTCTGAAACACCTTCATGCTATTGAACCATCTTAAAAAGGGATCCAGTGCAACAGTAGACTGGGTGATCGTCCACGGTAGGAGTTCTGTTACGGTTGGGACCAAAATGGCTACTGAATAGCTGAGGACGCAGTATCCATGAGCCCAGCACACCTATATTTCTGGTTGGGCACTTTTGAAATTTGCATGTGCTTTTGACTCTCTGTTTGTACTGAAAGTTCTCCTTCCATCTTCCTCATAGTCAAAAGAGTGAGAAACAGGCAGCGTGGAGATGGTCTCCTTCCCTCAGGGGTACGATCTGTAGTATTAGCTCTGACTTTATTAAGGTGCAAAATATTGAAAGATTTCCCCTGCACCTTTCTGATTGCCATCAGCCTGTCTTGGGTTCTACAAATAGAGTCTGTGAAATAAAAGATCTTGGTGGTGGGGAGACGGTTGGCCCTCCCCTGCTGGTATTTTTAGCTGGATGAGAGAATTAAAGTGCTGGTGCATGCTTGTCCGGGGTCCCTACTGACCCTTCATTCAAGCAGAGTAAATGCAATCTCCACTCCTGCTCCAAACTCTCTGAAGAGCCAGAGCACTGGAGGGCTTCAAATGAACTGCAGCAGAGAATCTGTTCATTAGATGTTCCACTTCTATCTTTGGAAGCTGAAAGCCTAGAACAAAACGGCCAGTGTTTCATCCTTTGCCAGATGGATGAGTGACGGTGGGAGGGGGAGAATCACCTGGGAAATGGGAAAGGGGGGGCAGAATGAAAATGGATCTACCCCCAGCAAGAGCCCAAGCACTGTCATTTTTAGCTTAGGGTGATTTCCTGGACATGCAGACTTTTGTGCCCCCCCCCCAATGCTATCCATGTGCCTTGAATAGTCTGTTTGCTGGAGGATTGTTTGGTAGTGAAATTTGCAGCGGTGCAATTAAAAAAAAAGAAGCTGCGCTTGGCTTGTCTGCTCCTTGGCCAGGACTCCCTCTTTCCAGTAAGATGTCTGCTATACAGAGGTGTATAACCCTAATGGCTTGTTGTATGCCATTAAAAGGTATTGTACACTCATAAAAGAATGACATTTTGATCAATGCTGTTATAAGAATTACTGTCTTGACACAGAAAAGCTTTCCTGCTGCAAGTTTAAAAATATGCCTTTAAAAGCTTTTTATTGAATAGCTTTGCATCCCTGAGAAATTTGCTGTTTTGGTGTGAGGTTGCTCTGAAGTGCTCCTTGGTGTAGCCTGGGTGCAAACTTCTGTTTATTATTGGAAAGAAGGTGGGTAGGCAGGTGTGCTTCATTGCTCTTTGAGAAGCAAGGCGGAAAAACTCCGTGAGCATGTGCCCTAACAAATCAAATCACTCTTATTTTGTTTCTTCTTTGTTTTCCCCTTTCCCCAGAAACTCTGAATCATTACAAGCAGTTTTATTTGTTTGGCATAGATTCTTTCCGCCTAAATCTCTTGAAAGCCAGAGGCTGAGCTGTAGAAGGTTCAGAGCCCTTGATTGTTGAGGTGCACCTGAGATGACTGGGGCCAAAACTGAGCCCCTGTTCCACCACAACACCCAGTGTGCCCGATTGTAGCAGGCCTGTGTCTCTTTGTTTGTGGGTAGAAGCTTTACTTCCTGGTCCAACTCATGCTTTCTCAACGAGCTGTCTTGGTGGCCTCTTAAATGAGTTTGTCAAATTTTCCTGCAACAGTATGTGCCAGTGGTATCCTGGCAGCCCTGCTAATGCTCATTACTGAAGTCATGTTACATAGCTCCAAGGGCCAAGATCTTTTGGTACTTTGCAGCAGAAGACCCTGTAAGTTCCCCTCTCCCTCCCTGGCAGTGAAAATCAAATTATAAGCATTAAGTCAAGACGCTTGTTGCCTCATGACACACCCCAAATCAGATGTTTGAGGCAGCTGCTTCAGAGCCTAATGGTCCAAGGTGGTGGTAGTTTCCTTAGAAAGGGTTCTTCGAAGATCAGCTCACTGAAGCAGGCCCCTGTCTCAAGAGGCTTGTAGAGTGCAACGCATGCAGGAACCCTGGGAGGGCAAGGCAGGGCTGGGATGCTTAGTTACATTGATGGTGCCTTCCTTACATTGAGAGTTTTGGTGCCATGCATTTCAGTGTCAGCACAAAGCTTGAAGGGATCAAGAGAAGAAAATGTCTTAACGTGGTGTCAAAACTATGACAATTGGGGGCCGTCAGGCCTCCCTGTGGGGAGCAGTCCAAAAGCAGAGGGCTATATCTGAAAATACTTGCTTTCTTGCCCCTGCTCTCTGAGCCTTTCTTAGAGGAGGGACTTGGTGGGAGACCTTGGAGGATCCTCTCCAGAGATTATCCCCCAGACTCATAAAAAGGGAGGCGTTTCACAAAAGCGAATTGCTTGGACACTGTGTTGGTGGAGTCTGGTCTCTGAAGAAAGGATGCTGCCAGGTTCTAGGGAGACGGGGACCAGGGTGGGAAGGGGAAAGAGCAGCTGTGAACACGGAAAAGGCATGATGCGAGGCATTTGAAAGGGTGAAGCCAGGCCACCCCCTAGGTCTACTCCTCTGCTCTACGGTGTTCCAAGGGAAGGGAGAAACCCTTCCCCTCAAACACCCATTCCCCCCCCTCCCCGCAGGCAGCTTCGCGTAGTAGCTGCTGTCACACAGCCACCCTTTGCGAGTATTTCTTGCTCCCGAGATCAAAGGCATTCTCACCGCCGGCTGGTGGACAAGCGGGTTTGTTGAAGGCTCCTTCTAAGAAGCTTAATTTCTTGCAGGAATTGTTGCAAGTAAATTGGATACCAGAAATGCCTTTACTGAGGCTGCTTACCCCTGTGAGTCCAGCCTCATCACTAAAGGGGAGGCAGGCGGGGAAACTCAAGTTTACATTTTCAATCAGTTCCAGGACCTCTCTTAGGAGATGGACAAATGGCTGCTTGCTCCTTGTTCTTACTTCACGCCTGTTGAAGAAAGAGTCTGCTCCTCTGCTTGGGAAAATAGGTGGGATACTTCTGTCTTGGTTTTGGTGTCTCGTATGGTATTGCCACGATGCAGAAGATGTGTAAACATCTGCTTTGTTTTAAGTGTGAATAGCAATACAGAATTTTCCTAAAGGCATTGTGGAAATTCCCCCTTCCCTTCTACTGTGGGGATATCTGGGTATTCCTGTCTGGGGCGACTGTGCCCTCATTTTAATCCCAAGCACACGGCACTTCTGCTAACTTACATTCTTGACTAGGAAGAATTTGCCTTCCCTCTGTAGGTACGTAATGCTTGGGAGGGAGGTGGCTGTGTTCGTCTTTTGCAGCAAAAGCAGCACGCTGAGGACTGAAGAAGTTTTATTTGGTACAGTATAAGCTTTTGTGGGCCGTAGCATCTGAGGAGGTGGGTTCCTGTTCCAGATAAAACACATGA